GAAGAAGAAGAAGAAGAAGAAGAAGAAGAAGAAGAAGAAGAAGAAGACCTGAGGGAGGGAGAGACAGAAAGAAAAAAAAGGGGGGAGAAAAAAATTAAATTTTAGCAAATGCAAGGCAGAAAAGCCCTATCTGGTGGAAATCAAACCTCTAACATACTATATTTTAAGAAGACAGATGTAATAACAAACACAATTCTAAAGAGACAGCTAGGCTGCAGAGATGGCTCAGAGAATAAAAGTGCTTGACATGCAAGCTAGACAACTTTAGCTCAATTCCCAGAACTAGAACAGATGTTTAGTATAACTAACATCTGGAAGTTGTCCTCTGACCTCCACATATGCACTGTGGTATTTGTGTATAGTCACACACACACACACACACACACACAGGCATACATACACACATATACAATAATAAAATAAAACAAGAAAGGGCTCACTCAGTATTACTGACTGAAATTTTAAAATAGAAAGTAATGGCTGGGAGCTACAGGCCAATTATCGTGAACTATAATTTGTTAAATGCTTGGCCTGCTTCCTGTGTACAGGCATTGAAGATTAAGCTGCATATGTTGTACCTGGATAAGTTCAGTCCCTAATCAGATGTTAATACAGACACATGCAGAACCCACAGGAATTTAGCCATTAAACAAAGCACAGAAAATGAGACCTTTTCATTAAGTTCTTAAAACAAACACAACATAATTGGATTCAAGAAAAATAAAATAAGATGTATCCAAAGAACTAACGAAAGAAAGAAAACAAAGACCGAAGAAGTTAGTTACTCCTAGATCCCTATTCTTTACAGACACAATGAGCCAGACTGTTTTGTTTCAATTTGACAGAGTCTCATTATGTAGTCCAGAATGGCCTTGAACTTACCGTCCTACCTAAACCTCCTGGTGCTGAGACTGCAGGCATTTGCCATCACATCTAGCTTGTCTGGTATTTTATTTTATTTCTTCTGCTGAGAAACTGTAGATTTTTTTTTTCTCAGACTTAAACAACTACAAGAATCTCTTCTGACTAATCCCAGATTCCCACTGTGGCAGCTGAGATTTAAAGCCACCTGTGCCACTAAGTTGCTGGGAGAGTTTTGATAAACAGCCCAATAGCTCAGTAAATTCATCCTGCTGCCTGCCCCTCCCTCTCCAGCCTCCTCCACCCGTAATGCATACTTGCCAAAAATCACAGGCAAAGGGGGATTGAGTGTCCATGCTTGAATAAATCCTTATTGGCAGACAGACCTAATATTTAGCACGGGGGGGGGGGTGTGGTTAATAATGCTGTGCTAACCTGAGCACTTGCATCTTTGGCTGGAGCCAAGCTCTAGGCTACTACTACTGCAGTCCTACAAGCCACTATCAGTCTGCCATCCTTAAACCTTAGAGAAATCACAGGAGACCAAAAAGAAACTCAACAGCAGGAATATTCATCATGGACAGAATTCAGACACAAGTTATGGCCTTCCTTATGTTACTACAGTTGGCAGGCACCCAAAGGCAGCATGACTGTGATGAAGGTCTGTGGAACAAGGCCTTGCAAATGAATATTTTGCAGACTGAAAAATGAGAGCTGGAGAAAGACACCAATTTCCCTCCAACTCCTCTACTTCCTGGCCTAAAGTAACATAGCCACTGTTACACACTTAAACTGAGTCTACTAAAAGATCTTTCCATAAAGCCAAGCCAGAGTCAAGAGACAATATCAAATTTAAACATGCCCACCTTAAAACTCCTTTCATTTCAGTTAACATCTTTGCCTTGTCAAGACTTCTAATCTCCAGTCCGTTGCTACATTATAACCTAATTCAGCTAATTCACTTGCAAAAAGCGTTTCCTGATTCATAATATTTCCCCTTTGCAAAAACACAATCACTGGAAACATTTTAACCTGTTTTTTTTCTCCAGGCCTAAGGTGATCTATCATAACCTTGAATGAGATAATGCATATGAAAGTGCCTTAAGAGCAGTAAAGTGCTAGACAAATATAAGGTGTTAGTAGTCATCCAAACTATCATTAGTCATTTTCTACTTCCAAGTCAGAACACTGGCTGCATCCATCTGCTGTTAATTTTGTTGTTTTGCTTTTTGTTTGTTTGTTTTTTGTTTTTACCTATTCTCATCAACTCGGAAAAAAAAATCCATACAGTCATGCTTCTAAGGTAAGAGCCACACAGTACACATTGGAAAGTTGGATGCATCAAAGTGAGAACCTTAGTAGGTTACAAAGCAGTGATTGGGGATAGAAGACAAAGAAGTACAATCCCCAGAACATTGCAAGAATGTATCAGCATGATTCCTTCCTCTGCCTTCACCCTACAGCTTTAGGGCATAAACTACAAAGGGGGGGAAAAAACGCACAGGAAATCGGCCAATAGTTCTCCAAACATCCATCTGGCATTCACCGGCCATCATCCTCTGCATGTGACCCAAGGGTCACCTGGACAGTTTTACTTTACTGGAAGCCATATGGACCAAAGGCTAAGGGTGGCCTGGCTGGCTACCTGACCTCCTCCACAGAGACCAGTTTCCCTTTTCTTGCACAAGGAGGTCAAAAGCCTTTCAAAGTAGCTCTGTAAAATCCCCCACAATTATGGAACAAAGAATCACCAGGACAGACAGGCTGTCAGGGGCTAGGAGAAGTATAACTCCATCTCATCTTACAGGTAGAGAAACTGAGGCCCAGGAAGGGTACTTTCCCCAAAGCCATACAATTAATTAATTCCAGGTCCCCTAAGTCTTCTAAAAGCCTCTAAAATCTTTCCTTTAAAAACCACAGTGCTGCCAGGTTTGAGGTCAACACACCAGTAGCAGTCCCAGTGAGGCTGAATTTAGCCCTTTGTTGACCTTCTAGATCCTTAGTTGCCAGAGCCTCAAGACTCCTTTGTAGAGGCACCCTCTGACCCTCACCACCTGCCAGCCTAAAAGAAGCACTCGTGTCTGAAGAAGCACTCAAAACAGCTACTCAGATGTGTTGTTTCCTCTCATTAATAAAAAGCCCATTCATTTAAAAAGAAAGAAAGACGACTGGTCAAATTTGCACAGAAGGTTTAGCTAGGACAACCCTGGACTTTGTTGTGAATGTGGTCCCTTTCCTGCTCTCCCGCCCCTGACCCTCTTCCAAAAAAAAAAAAAAAAAAAAACAAAAAACAAAAAACCACAAACCGCTGCTCACCCAGTCTCTTTTCTATGCTTTTAGTGGCCCACTCAGTAACTTCCTTTTTATTCCAGAGTTATCTACACCTCCTTAACATCTGTAAGATGCCAAGGGGCCAAGGTCATTCTTCACATTTATAGATCAGGAAACTGAGGCCAAGAGAGTGCAACCAAATGGTTTTCTAGGAAAGCAGATCTGGCAAATATCTGAGCGACAAGTACATAGCAAAATCCTACAGGATGGCTTGACCACCCTCTGCCACCCCCAGTTTAGGACTGAAAGCTTGTAACTCCAAAGGAGAGTTGGTTTGTTTTCCGCCCCATCTTTTGCCTTGAGGCAAGTGACCTCTATCCTGGAACCTTGCAGGGGCTGTAAAGTGAGGATAATAATCTCAATACCTCCTGCCCCAAGCAGGGTTGTCACAGTTCTCCTGAAAACAACCTTCAGCAAATATAAAATCAATAAAGACGCTCACAGGCTTCAAAACTACTCCCAGTTAAAAACACAGCAAGTTTTCCTCAGCCTGTAATCTAAAAACCCCTGATTGCTTTCCCTCTCTCTCCTGTCTCCTCATTCTCCATGAATTTATACCTTCAGAACATCCCTGAGCAGACTGAGTAAAGAAAGTCCCACCCTTTGGCCCTCACACAAATTACTTGTTTCTAGCTGGCAATTTATCCTTCCTTTCAATACCATTTGTTTGTTTTAACATAGCTAATGGGTAGAGGTCATGAAAGCAAAAGAAATCAGCTCTTTGAGCATCCTTGGATCAAGTCCATAGGATGGGGAATCAGAGTGGTAAGATATAAAGGTTTGAAAAAGTAAATATCCTCTCACCTCAGATGGAGAATTTCAACCCTAATGTTCTCAAGTCAGTGTGGGGTTGGGTTGAGAGAGCTCTCAGTAGCCTTGGGTTGCTCAAGCTTTTCACAACCCAAAAGCAGACCTCACCATAGGAGCATAACCTCCCAAATGAAAAGAGTCATAAGAGAAACCCCTAAAACTATTTCCCCAATATACCACAGTGGAGACAAGGAAGCTTGTGTGACCACCTCCAGGAAAGAGCCCCTGGGAACTACAGCAAAAGGCAAGAGAGCTGGGCCACGCGATGCCACAGATGTGATCCTGCAGGAGCACCAAATTGAGGCTGGACTTCCTGTTGTGGAAAAGGCCAGGCCCCAGCAGAGCTAGGAAAGGAGGGGTAAGTCATTTCTAGTGTTCTTCCCCTCCACTGTAGGGCTGACCCATTGTGCAAGGCTGAAGTTAGTACAAAGGCAGCCGCTGTTGGAAAATCATTTTTAAGGGTCCCACTTCCCATGGGGACGAAGTGTTCTGTGCTACAGTGTCCTGAGCACACAAATGACTCTTATCACTTAAGCTGCCCAGGAAAAAGTCAACAGACTCACATGCATCATGGTGACGAGGTGACAAGGGTTGAGCAGGTAGATGACGGTCTTGGTGGCGAACTTAAAGCCCACCTCCACCCCGAAGATCAGGCACAGGGCTACTAAGAGCAGATTCTTGCTCAGGCTCTCCTTGCCTTCCTTTGGCCGCTGGGTCACCTGCTGTGGCTGGCTGCCAAGGCCACCCCTACCGTCCTCCATCTGCCTCAGGATGTGCCGCAGGGCCACCAGGATCTCCAACAGGGCCAGGGTCAGGACCACCACACTTTCCAGCAGCCGCTGCTGCCAAGACAGGAAGGCAGCACAGTCGGGGCCCCCATTGCCTGCAAAACTGGGGTCGACACCCCCATAGAGCCAGTCCAGGAGAGTTTGGTAGCTATACCGGGACATGATGCAAAGTGGCTCCACTTGACTATGGTACAGGAAGCAAGAGCGAGATGGAACACGAGACCGAAGGGTTGCCCGGGCGGTGGAACATGTAAGGAGGGCACACCCGCACGCGAACCCTCTGGACACTGGGGCACCTAGAACAGGGGAGGGACAGCTACACGCGAGGCCCGGGGTAAAGTGCTGGCTCTAACTTGTCCCCACGGCTGTCTGGGGAGCCCCCCGCGCTTCTCCAGTGGCCACCAACGAGGCAGGGTTGAAAGGAGCCGTTGGCCAATCTAAAAGGAAGGAGAGGAAAAAAAGGTCTCAAAGAGGCAATTGCATGGGAATTAACGAAGCGGGGAGGGATAACTAGCGAGGGAAGAAAAGGGGAACTGGACTACGGCCAAGCAAGCAGAGGTCGAGGGAACTTGGAGGCCGAGAGGGTTAAGGGCGGGGACCTAGGAGACCTGACCCTACAAGGGAGCCAAGCGGGAGGCAGAGCAGAGTTAAAGAGAGGGGACCCGGGGAGGCTAGGAGAGAAGCTAGTAGGGCTGGGCAGAAGGGGAAGGCGACAGGGAGGGCAGGAGCGCCGGACTCCTCATCTCACGCACTCCACGAAAGGGGGATGTCTTACTTCTGCAACCGCGTGGTCGCCTCTGCCCCCAGCTAGTAACTTCGCCGCCGACGGGGCCCCCTCTCCAGTCAATTTAGAGCGGTCCCGGACCAGCCTCCCGCCCCTTGGTACACCCCCGAACTCCCAGCTCCACCCTCCTTGGCCCCTCACTCCCGCCCTCCGGGGCCAGCGCCACTCTCAGCCCTCGGCCCGCCCGGGACCAGCCCCTAAGGCGCAGGCGGGCAGCAGGAGGAAGCCAAGAAGGAAGGCGGGGAAGTGGGGCCCGGCCATGGGGCCGCCACCCTCCGCCCTGCTGCCGCCGCCACTGCATCTTCCCTCTTCTCTTCGCCCGGCCCCCAGGGACGAGCCGACGCGTCCCCTTGGGGCTCCACTCACCCGCTGCTAGGCCCCGCCGCCCGGGCTCCACCGATCGCTCAGTCTCCCCGCACTCGCGGCAGCCCCAGGAGGCAATCGGCTGTGCTCCCTAGGCGGCCGCCGCAGCTGCCGCCACCGCCGCCGCTGCTCAGGGCTCCTCCTCCCTGTCTTCCTCCCCCAGCAGCCGCCGCTTGCTTCCTCCGGTTTCCCCTCCCTTTCCCCCTCGCCGCCAACTCCCTCCACCTTCGGCCCTCCTACGGTCCACTTCACCCCACCCCCACCCCCAACACACAGTCCTCAAGCTACCGCAGCTCTGCCGATCCTCCTTTCCACAGCCTACCCCCACCGCGTCCTCGCCTCCCACCTCCTGCCCTGCTTCCAATTGTCTCCCCCTCCACCCCGCTGACCTCCGGAGGCCCCATCCCCGCCTCTTTCCTCCTCCTTCCCCCGCCTGTTCCTTCTGCACGCGCGCATAGCTTTGCTCCTTCAAAACTGTGACTAAATTCGCCTCCCCGCCTAAGTCGGGTGGACTAACTCCTCCGGAGACCCGGTTCTCTGACCACTACTTTATATACCAGAGCACATACAAGGCGCTCAGCTGGCCCTCACTAACTTCTAGGAGTAAGACAGTGAAACTACTGGACAGGCTTTGGCTTTGGGAATGTGCCGAGTATAGTCTTCCCGCCTCCCTTCTTCCTTGAAGTGGGAGATTCATAAAAGACCATGCAAGTATGGTTTCTCACCCTTGTAGTCACAGCTTCACTTTCTTCAGCGCCTAAGTTGGGGGCTTCGCCCTGGACTCCTTCTAGCCAGGCTCTGATAGTTTTCTCTCTCCTACTCCACAGACCACCCTGGCTCTCTAACTCCTTCCCTCCCCCCAACCTCTCTCAGTCCCCCCCTCTTTCAACAACAGTACCTTCAGGGACAGATTAACTGGAAAAAAAGAAGCGTCTCCTGACTTCAACCCGTCCTCCCTCCCCCTAAAGAGAAAAAGCCGCTGCTTCCTAACCCTGCCTTGGAAAGAGCAGCCAGGCAAGACAAAGTGAGTGCTAGCTGGGGTCCAGGGGGCCCCTCTTCTCTGGCACTTTCTACCTAGTGACTGTGTTGGCTCTTCTTAGGACCAGGAATTAAGGAAAGAACTACTCAGAATGTACCTAATATTACTTTAATATTTATTGGATACTCACATAAGTTGGAAGACTATCCAGAAAAACCACAGTTAGGCACCTTGCCTAGGAAACACTTTCAGATGTTGGCTGTATGCCAGTCTTAAAATGTAAAATACAGTCTACTGTATTATCAGGCCAATACCCTCCCATCTTTTCCAACCTAACAAATACAGCTAGGCGAGCTTGTCTGACTTCAAGCTTTGTGAAGCATTTACCATACAGGCATGATGTTTTTCAAGTGCTAATTAATAAAGAATGGCAACAAACAAGAATCAGTTCAGAGGCATTCACTGGCTCTCCTTTGGTGTTTTGCTAAATCTTAGCAATACCACCAAAGAACAAAGCTTCTAGCAGTGGAATGTAGCATCTGGAGTGCCTATCTTCAAAGAAGAATGAAGATACAGCTCTCAGAAATAGCTTCATTAATCCCTCTCATTTCCATGCTGACCTTCACTAGGGAATCCGGCCTAGCCACTTCTGTGTGTACCAAATTACTGTCTTTAATGACTGGAACCAGGCCAACTTCCTGACCTAAGCTCCAAATCCCTTTTTTCTTTTTTGTAGGTAGACAAAGTGGGTTTCCCTTTACTTTTTTATTAATTTGTTGTTTATTGTATCTGCATGAGTGTTTTGACTACATGTCTATCTGTGCACCACTTGCATCCCTGGTGTCCAGATAGGACTGCAGTTATAGACTGTTGTGAGCCACCCTATGGTTGCAAGGAATCATACCTGGATCTTCTACAAGAGTAGCCAGTGCTTTTAACTGATGAGTCATCCATTTAACCCCCCAAAATGCTTTTTAAATTTCATTCTGGGTTGGACAGATGGCTCAATGGTCAACAGTATTTTCTATTCTTGCAGTGGATCTGGGTTCAATACCTTGCATCCATATGGTGGATTACAACCTTCTGTAACTCCAGTTCCAGAGGGTATGACATCCTCTTCTGGCCTTTGTTGTCACTAAGCAAGCACATGGTGCACAGACATGTATGCAGGCCAAACACCCATACACATAAAATAAAAATAAATCAATCTTTAAAATAAAATTAAAAGATGTGTATTCTAACTAATCTTATTTATGCCAGTTGCTTTTGTAGCCTTGAATAATTTGCTCAGCCTTTCATTTCTTCTATTTCTTATCTCTTAATTGAAGGATAATGTTACCTAATTCACATTCAAATGAGTTGAATTCTGTAAAAACAATACTTAATGTCAGATACATGGAAAGTATCCACTAAATACTACCTGTTTTTAACAACCCCAGCATTTGCATGTACATTTAAGTGTGTGGACATATACACTCCAATTCTGTTCCCTCAGCTACATCTGCAGAAAAAAGTCACCCTCCAAAACCCATGGAAAATCACATTCTTCTCAATCCCCCAACCAGTCCCCAGATCTCTCTCCCTCCACGAACTTCTATAGCAGTTATTGCCTGCACTACTCATTTTATTTTGAATCACATACTGCCTTCCATTGTTCTCTCTGTGAGTCCTGCCTCCCACACCCAGCTCTTTGACAGCATGGAAGGGTCATAATCTTTTCTACACAAACAAACCCCTCAGCACCTAACAGAATGACACATAGTAAACACCAAGTAAATACAAAGGGATTATTTTCCCCATAGGTAAAGAGGTAAGCAAGCAATGATCTAAAGTTCTGGGTCGAACTTTACAAACAACAAAAATCTTCAGACGAATGTCTAGACATTTCTTTGCTGAGAGAGCCTATTTATGTCCAAACTGAGAAGAAACTTTTTTTTTTTTTGCTTTTTAAGAAGAGTATTTTAAAAATTATTTTACTTATTTATTTATTATGTATGAGCATTGGACACTCAAGTACCATGCCACATATGTGGAAGTGAGAGGACAACAATCAGGAGTTGGTTCCAGTCTCTTCTTTCAGCATATAGGTTCCAGGAGTCCAAGTCAGGTCTTCAATCTTGGTAGCAAGTACCTTTACCTGCTGATCCATGTGATTGGCTTTTAAGGAAGTCTTAGTGGCACACAATTAAAAGAGAACCTAGAATCCCCCAGCAGTTTGAGCAGTTAAGCACCCTTCTGAGAGGGACTGGTATAGGGCCTCTGGGGACAGCAAAGTGGAGCCAGATATGAGTGGAGGCCTGGCAGGAGGTGGGAGGCAGGAGTGGGCTATGGAAAGAATGCTGTAAGGAGGGACAGTGGTACCTCAAGGACATGTGCTTATAACGGTGGTGGGTGATATAGATAGGAGGGGGGCCAAGAATGGAGGGAGTTGGGGGTGTGTGGGGGGCAACTTCTTTGCTTTGTTTTGCTTTTTTGTGGCATTTTTTGTTCATTTGTTTGTTTTTATGAGACAGGGTCTCCCTATGTAGCCCCTGGTTGTCCTAGAACTCAGGTTCAAAGATCAGATTGGCCTGGAAGTCACAGATCTCCCTGCCTCTGCCTGCTGAATACTGAGATCAAAAAACATGCAAGTCTTCTTGGGATGTTTTTGTCAACAGTCTCTTAGAAACCTACTGGACATAAAAGGGTATAATTCTGTGAGCTCCACCTCCCTGTCTTCTCAGGCCTGTTTGATCTTAAGACAGACAGCTGATCTCCTGATTTGGTGGCATGAGTCACCTCTCTGCTTGTAGAAACAATCACTTAAATTCTTTGGGCCAAAGTGTCTTCCCAGTTATGAGCTCAGGTGACCTCCTGGAGCTAATTGGTCACAGGCAGCACCTTGTCTTCTTTTAAGACTCTCAAGTTAAATGTGCGCATTCAAAGTCCTCCTCCTGCAAATGATACTTTGAATCTACTTGTGCCCTTCTTTCTACAATGAAAGCTTGTTTTATATGGTTATTTCCTCCCAGTTGAAACATTTCCTCCCAGAGGGAGAAGGGAGGCTCTTAAGACTGGAGAAGCTAACGAAATATACAAGGCTGGGAAAAACTCAGAGAGCTACAAGATTTACAAGACGACTTCCCAAGGTTAGGTGCACAGTAAAAGACTTCACTGGGAAGAGGAGACTCCAGAGCAGTTGCCTACAAACTGTGTGAGGGAAATCCAGGGATGTGGCATGAATGGTGTAGTCACCCATGCTGGGGTAGGCTTTCACTGATGCAGCTGCCTTTGACTCACCCATGGTCCTGTAAGTAAGCCCAGACAAAAAGCTAGATCTCAGTGGAATGATTTTTTTTTTTTTTGTCTATTATTAATGCACTATCTGGGTGGAATAGGTATTTGCCGACATCTCCCTCAGGAAAAGGCTTGTAACAAACTTGCAAGTCAAACGCAAGCAAAAATAATAAACTACATGAAGAGAGAAGCCATTATTTTGGTCTGTCTGCTTTCTGTTTCTCCCCCTCCCATTCATGCAACACCAGCATTTATTCTCTACATAGTCAGGGAGCCTCTGCAATGTGCAGAAGAATGTTCTGAACCTGTGAGCAATTCTTGCTCTGAAGGAGCTTACGATCCACCCTAGAGAGCTCTTATGAACAAGAAAGGTTAAATTAACAATACTTCCTGTGAGGGGGCTATAAAGCCAAGCAGATAAGAGTAAATCCCACCTGTACAAATGAACTACACTGGTAAGATTTGCGGAGCAGCAAAAATTTAAGGGTAGATCTGTGTGTGGTGGCACTTAGCCTTAACCTCACAAAGTAGGTGACTGAGGCAGGTTCATCAGGCCTTTAAGGCCAAATTGTATAGCATAGCATGTACCAGAGCAGGTGATGCTCTTTAACAAGATCCTGTCTCAAAACAAAACAAAATTGAAAATCAGAGATGTGGGAATCCAAGGAAGCCATATGTAAAGGCATGAATGTGTAAAGAACAAACAAACTCCTCAGTGAGAGTGTATTTTTTTTTTTAACATGGGCATGGCCATGTCAAGGACCCAATGCTTCAGAACTGTAGAAACAGCAAAGCCTTCCTCTGGTCCAAATCCAAATGTTTACTAATATTTGGCCAATGTGCGCAAAAAGTAGCAAGTGCAGCTTCTT